AATTGTATGAAGTCTAAAGAATTTTAATATATTGTGAGATTTTGATTTTGAGATACTTTTATTGAAATTCTTTATAATAAGTTTTGATATCAGGCTAAAGGATTTCGCAGTGTGATTTTTTTAAAAAATATAATAAGTTCTTACTGCATATAACATGCTGTAATTATCTTTAATATAAATTATCGTGATCTAATTGATTCTTTAAACGTTTATAGAATGATGTTTCACGGGGTTTTTTCCTGAGGAGTACCGTTTTGAATATAGATTTAAATTTCGATAAATCTTTAACCTTTTTTATTTAACGTATTTACTCGAATCTAAGCCACACTTTTTTTCCAAAGTTAATACTACTGAAAATCGTGTGCATCTTAGAATCAAAGGTAAAACATTTGTTGTATGTGGTAATTGAGTTTCCATCCCTTTTAAGAAGAAAAATGTAACCGTACATTCAGTCAACTTGCGTTGATGACTTATCCAATTCCGAAGTTTTATTTTCAGTATTCGATCTATCCTAAACATTGTTGTCTGCTCGTATTTAAGATTTTTTTTTTGTATGTTCTTTATTTAAATTACCTAAACATCAAATATATTGGTAATAGCAACAAGACAAGTTCACTATGACGCAAGTAGGAAAAAAGAAGGCAATTTTATATGCAGAAAAATTTAGAAACAGTGTAGGTGGCCACTGAAATTGTTACACAGATGAAACAAATATACGTTGATGACTTCGACAAAATGTTATAATTCTTCTTTGCAAATGTTCAACAGTCTTTAATAATTATTTAAAAAGAAGCAAGTAACAAATCATTGAATGGCACGGAAGACGACACCGTGTGGGAAAATGGGGATTCCGGCACCTATTCCGGAGTCAGCTGTGGCAATGAAAGTGACGAATCATTTTCGGAACATGATTTTGACGGTTAAAATTATAATAAGTTCTTGTATGTATCTGAAAGTGTTTAACATTCGTAAAATAAATAAATTACTAACTTTTTATTTATCATTTAAGTTTTTTTTTTAAAAAAAATTAAGTATCAGTTATTGATGAACCGTTTACACAATTTTTTTTTCTCAAAAACGTCTAGTGAATTGGGGTGCAGTTTAGAATCGATGGCGGCTTAGATTCAAGTAAATACGGTAATTATAATTTCAAGTTTTATAAAATTGCTGATATTCCTGTTGTATCATTCACCATTTAGAAGACTGAAAGCGAAATTGGTGCGATCGTAACTTAAATAGGATGCTTAAAATAATATTTCTCGTAATTTGTAAATAATGGATTGTGTGACGCAAGAACAGGAATACATTCTCTTGCTATTTAATATTTTTTATATTAATTAATATTTATTAAATATAACAAAAAGTACTAGACAGAATAATTGACGAAACTTCTACAGAAATTCTTTATAATTTGTAAAGAAATTCAAAACGGATTCATATTTTTTTATAAAAACTGTCAACGTAAATTTTTTATGAGAAGTAGATATAACTTAATGAGATGTAATCTGAAATCCATTTTTTTTTAATTGCGAATTGATCCCAATTTTGCCTGTAATCGCATAGATATTACTTTAAAGTATTACAAATTTATATGTAAATCATTAATCTAATATTGTTCGTGGAACTATCGCAAACCTAATTTTAAGCTTTTAAGAAGAAATACAGTCGAACATCTCTATAACGAACCTCTATATAGCGAATGTTCCTGGAACCAAGAACATTTCACGATTTCCTTCGTAAAGTAACTTCCCAATAGCGAAGTGCATTTTCTATGTAACAAACTTTTTCTCTCTATTTTTAATTTCTTTCAGGACATTTTGCAAGTTATTCTCTCTTTTAGCACATTTTATGGAGAACAATGACCTTGAATAGATATAACCAGGTGACTAACTCACCTAGAACAATGAAATGGCTATAATTTTCCAATTAAGAAACTAAAATAAAACTCGCAGATTTTATCAGTAACTAAATTTTTGGACGCATGTAGCAGTGTATACTTAAAATTACTGGTTATACAACAATGTACGTTTAAAATTACTTGTACGCGTAAAATTAGAAAATGTCATTAAATGTAAAAACATCCTTATTAAATTTAAATATTTAAGAGAACACTGTAACACACAGTTGATTTTTTCCTTTCCAGTATATCTAAATATGAAAAATGCAATAAATCTCGTAAAGTAAAAATTTTGCATTTTTTGTAAAAAAAATTATTAAGTTTTTTAAAAGTATAAAACAAATTAAATTTGAACTCCTGTTTAAAGAAGTCGCTATATAATGAAAAAAAGTTCATTTAGTGAAAAATTTCGTAAAAAAAAATAGAGGTTCATCTTTTAATATACTTTGAAAAAAACACACAAAACAAATTTTTAATTCATTAACACTATGAATTATTTAAAAAAGTGATAATTCCCATTTTTTTTAAAATTAATACCTTATTATTTTATATAACTTACCCATCTAAAAGAAGTCTTCAAAAAAAAAAAAAAATAAAAAAAAACATTGTTTAGGAATACACTATTTTCAAATTTAAAAAATATTTTTACATTAAAACTAATGATTTTTAAAAATAAACTAATCAGAATTTCACCGTAACAACTCTCACTTATTGTACATGTAACTTATCTCTGTGAGCAAATTGTTTCTAAACTATCATTGAAACATTTTTAAATCGTATTTTATTTTTTGCCTTACGCAATATATATATATTAGTTATAATAATAATAATAATAAAATAAAAATATACATGAAACTATATAAATAATATAAAAATTCTCATTTAAAGCAAACTATTTTCTTTTATACTCTTTGTTTAGAGGGCTGTTTTTTTTTCTTTCTCTTTTCATTTTTTGTTTATCAATAAAAAAATAGCATTGTTGTAAATTTACATCATTTCTACATTTTATACTAACCAATATTATTTGAAATTTGGGACAGTATTTGTAATAGTAAAACACACACACACATGGCAACATTTTATTCACTGCTTCATATTTAGTATTTTGCAGAAAACAATTTAAGCACTCTGCTTTTTAATTCATAAGTTAGTATTTTTCTTTCCCGTAATTTGCACTTACAAATTATAAACGAATTTCTATTCCAATTTTACAGCTTTAACAGTTAAAAAAAATGTGACTGGAATTGACAGGTGTGAAAATTTTAAGAACACTTTATTTCTTGGGCTAAAGTTTAATCTCGTCCTGATATTTAAGCAATACCCTAACTAATGCTAGTAAACAAATTAGACTGGCATTTAATAGGAAATCAATGATTAACAAATCAATGAGAGATACGGACTTAGAAAATATAAATTAGCTTGGAACTGGTATGTCTTTATCTAAAACCGATGAACGTTTCAGCTTCAAATAATTGTCAGAAACTCTATTGCATTTCCCAAGAGAATATCAAATCGGAATTTCAGTGCTATTTTACTATTGCTTAAGTCTTTATTTTTATGAAGGGCGTCAATAATATACATTGCAGAAATATATTTGCAGTAATTAAAAGGCACTTTCTATTCACATTAATTTAATATAACAACTACAGTTATTCGAAATGAGGGTTTCAAGCATTAATTTATAATGCAACTAAAATTCATACATAAATTATTATTACGTCCTTCTTCAATTAATAAAAGAATAATAAATATAAGTTTTATAATACGACCTCTTTCTCCAATGGATATATCTACAGCAAAGAAAATATTAACTTTAAGGTCTGTGGGATTTATTAACTTTACAGTATATATCTTAGTGCTTACAATTTTACGCCGTCATTAATAAGTGGCTGCAGTAGCCCATTGAGCAAGGTCACGGATTGGTGGCCGGCGTGTCATGAGTTCGAGCCTAATACTGTTCAAAACCCGCATTGCAGAAGAGCATTAAATTAGTCGAAGCTCAAACCTCTTCCGATTGGTGTGATGGGGAAGTTAGGAGAGTGGATGCAAGCTCAAGTGTCGTCCTCGTCACTTGATTATGGTCATTCGCAAATAACCATCATGTTGTTTCATAGTGTGACGTTGGTATAACTTTCTCAATCACTCACTCAGTCATGAATAAAAATTCACGTATAAGAATTAAACTGATTATATAAATGCTAAAGAAATATAAAAACTAAAATTTCACCTTAACCTCCCTCATTAAATAAAGCAATTTTCGAAACACTATCCTTTAAAACTACATGAAAATTAATTATTTCGTACCTATAAATTGTCAAATTATTTCCAGGATATTTTCAAATAAACTCAGTTTAAATTATTCGAACCAAAATACTTACTTGAACGAAATTTATTTTTGTTCATTTTTAATTAACGCAGGCTCTTTTTTAAGTACCTTAAGACATGCATTTTGTTTTAAATATTATATTACACATTTTAGTTAAAATATTATCAAAGAGATCATTAAGTATTTGGTTTAAAAACCAGCATCATATTTTTATTAAAACATATGTATATTAAAAGATGAATAATTTAGAAAAATGAAGTTCATCATTTGTGTGATTTTTTTTCTCTTTTGAATCTCTTTAATTGTTTTGAAAATATAAGAAAATTAAAAATGAAGTAAAAAGGGATGAATGCTACACATACACATACACACACACATGTAAAAGTACAACTCATTAGTTTGTTGTTTTCCAATTTTAAGTACAATAGAATCCATAAAAAGCAAGGTTACCTTAATATGCGATTACACGGTGTTTGTTTAATGGTTTTTCATTCATTTCTTCCTATATATTATTTTCCAGCCCCAATGAACATTTTTCAATTCTTACTTTTAGTTCACTATCTCCCTATATATATATATATCGTGTTCAAATTTTCAATCGTTACTAAAATACTTTCTATTCATTCATTCAAGTTCAAATACATTTTTCAAACTTGTAGTGAATGACACTTGATGTTAATACAGTTTTTCCAATATGAATTAATTAAAAATAAATAAATAGTAACAAACATAAATAACAATCCAACAGCATATATAGATAAGAAAATCGATCGTCGTGTCTCAGTAGCGCAAAGGATGGCGCGTTGGTCTTCTAATCCAAATACCGTGGGTTCAAATCCTACCTGGGAAGGCCTAATTTCTGAGAATGTGGTTTCTTTTTTACTATACTATTTTATTAGAATAATGAAATTTAATTAATAAATAAATAGTAACAAAACAAACAAAAAATACTTCAAGAACCTACATTGAAAGTAAAAAGGAAAGTTGCAAGGAAAATCGCTTTCTCTATTTTGTCACTTAATGTTGTGATTCTCTCACATGTATATACATATTTATATTTATTGTAACTATTTAATAAAAATTAAACATAAAGCACAATTTTCTTTGTTGACCTATGTAGGAATTAACTTTTCTTTTTTTATTACTTGTTACATTTCCTTTCGTCATTAAAATTTTGTTCAAAAATTCCTTGACTTCCCTCACGTTTGAACTGTAAACACTAATAGCAAATTTGTGATTTAATGCAATCCTTTTTTTTAATTTTAATACTTTTAAATACATGATATTAATAAAACCTTGATTAATTTGTGTTCAATTGCACTATTGCTTACGAAATTTATCCATAGAATTTCTCAAAGACTGTTTTATAGAAATATTAGCTTTACTTTTGGATTTTATATTAAATATTTTTCGTTTAAAATATATTGATAAGAAAAAAAAATTGATAAATCGCATAAAACCATTCAATATTCGAAGGCCTTTTTAGAGTGTTTTAAATTAAAACACACGGTATTTTTAATGAAAAAAAAGAGAAAGAAATCATTGAAACATGAAACCTTTTGTATTTATTTATATTAAAACAATTTTTCAAAAAAGAACTCATCATTTAAAATTCCCAAGGTTGGCTTGCCGTCATATTTAATTTTATGGACTCTTACAATTTTAATAACTTGGTTTTCATTTACAAAAGCAATTTTCATTTTTCCATTTCGAATATTTAATTGAAGAAATTCTTCATCTCGTCTTCAATTGCCGCAGCGGTATCGGGATTTATTGAATTCCGGCGAACACAGAAAACTTAATTAAATCTTGGAAGAAGAAGCACACAAGAGGAAGGTAAAGGAGTTAGTAGGGGGAAAGTAATGTCAGATGCGCGCGACATTATCCTCGAAAACGAAATTTTCTAATATTGCATAAACTCGGAAGTTTTGCCTTAGAAACACAATTCTTACATTTCTACGAATGGTGCAAAGGGTGGGGATATAGATATATAATACTTTAACTTTCAAATGCGAGTGAAAGTGAGACAATTTTTTCTAACATTGCTCTTTTTTTCCGACCATGCTTTTCCACTTTCTTCAAAACGACTGGAGAGAAATATAGAAAGGATTGGGGAGGAGGGGGTTTGAGAGAAGTAGATGGCGAAATCGCAAAAGGACTGAGCGTAATAAGCTCCTCAAAAGTGGAGATTTCAGTACGCCTGAAAACTCCTGACAATGCCAGTTTCAGGAGATGTTGCCCTGCTTTCTGCATCTCAGCTCAAATTTTGCCACATTTCCGTTTCGACCATAGGAATATTTGAAAAGGAATGGTGAAAAAAGAGGAACGACTGAAGAGAGAAAGAGGGAGAGAAAGTATCGATTTATATGAGTAAGGGGAAAAAATGGAAGAAATAAAAAAAGGGAGAGAAACACATCCTTCTTCTTCGAGGGAAAAAAGCAAAGGGACCGTGTATGGGATACTATAAGCTCTATACATTCGAACTTCCCAAGCGTTTCTAATGATCTTAGTCGGTACTTTTTGCTTGAATGGCTGTATTTTGCGAACGGGATAGGAGAAATACATTTCGCAATTATTTTGTGACTTCGACTTTTTAGATGCAGATATCGTCTTGAGATGCGAGTTCTTCTCCGAACTTGGAATCTTTTGAAGAGGTATCGAATTTTCTCGGGGAAAAAGAGTCGTTTTTTGTCATTCGAGTTACAATGTGAAGAGCCAGGGGAAAATCTGAGGTCTTATAAAGCTAAATAAAACGTATTTTTATGCAGGAGAATATTCCCGATTTGTATTTGATTTTGCTCTTATAAGTAACTTCATGTTTGGTATTATCTTACATTGATAATAGAACATAAAAAGAAAATTAAAATATGTTCGTAGTCTTAATATTTATTTGTAAAGAAGATATTATTTTTTTAAAAGAATGCAGTCCTATTATTTTTTTTAAAAATGTAGCTTTATTTTATTTTTCGTCTGTACAAAATATTTCCTATTAAAAATTTAAAAGAACAGTATAAATAATTAGTATTAGTAATAGTTAAGGATTGTTTGTAACTGTTCCTTTTCAAAATGTATATAGTTATATTTTATCTAAGCATCGACAAATTTTTACTGTTAAAAGTAGTTATTATTTATAGTATTATTAATGCTTAATCTTATGTTTGAAGCCCTCATGCATCAACATTTACTATTTAAATAATAATTAGCATCGCAGTAGAAATATATGCAATGATTAATTAAGACAATAGTTGTATGAATAAAAAACTGTATTTTGCAAATCTGTGCATATAAGCTCGTTGATATGTAACAAAATATGAAATTATTTAAATTAAATAGCTACTATTATTGAAAGAATAGTGTTCTTTAGAAAAAAATATTTATATGAATTCATTTGGTCAAAACTTGGGAAATATAACTAGAGACATTTTTTAATAATGATTCTAAAATTTTATTCATTGGGAGATTATATTGTATTCATAGGGAATATAATTAAACTGATCTTAAAAATTCAATTCAAATAATAAAGTGAATTTATATTTACAGCGTGTTCAGAGTGACATGATTTTTAAACAATTATAATTTTCTTGCAAATAATCTGAAAGGACTAAGAAATGACTTGCTAAAAATATAATTTATATGAATTCCTTTTTTATAATTCTTAAAATAGTATTAACTAAAAGAAACGACAATAATAATTACTTTTACTGATTAAATGTCCAAAAAAAAATTGTTACCTGTAAATTTATTGTATGAATGGTTAAAATGTTTTAAAAGTCATTTTTGCATTAAACTTTACGTTTTGTGTAAATTTTTTGTTAGCATATCTGAACACTTGAAGTATGCTGACGCAAAATGTGTTTTTCGTACCATTTAATAATAGATTTTGCTTTCTTAATAACTTTTAATATTAAAATGAGTTAAAAATCTACTACCACATATTGCTCTAAATACAAACTAATCACTCTCTTATCAATGCACATTTTTATTTCTTAAAATCTATTTTAAATGTTATAAATAAAGAAGAAAGTAACAAATAAAACTTCTGTGATAAAACACTAAATTATGCACTTTTTATTCTTCAATATAAACTTGATTATCAATTTTTTATCCATAAAACACATAACACTACATTTACTTAAGTAAAAATGTTTCATTCATTCAAAACTGTATCTTACCATTCATTCAACATTTTACTAGATTTGTTAATATTGTTTTGGTTTCAGTATATTAAAATTGAATTTTTTTTATATGCATTGATATTTAATAAAAGTGAATGTGTTTTGAAATCACTGTTCTGAAAACTCTTGTTTATTGTTTATTTACATGATACCATTAAAGTTATGTACTTAAAATTTAAACTAAATTCAATTGGTAAACCATTTTATTCCTTTTTTATCCGCTATCAAAAGAAACAATTTATATTTTTATCGCTTTGTATTTTACATAAATTTTTTCTTCCAAATTTGAAATGTGTTAAATTAGTCAAAGTAAAACTTTCCTCTCTTAGGATATGCGTCTAGAAATGCCACGTTGAAACACTAAGAAATATTTTAAGGGGGTCACTTCACACAGCATTTTCTCCATAATGTTAAAAATGACCGAGTTAAAGGAAACATTTTGAAAAATTGACCAGTTGTACAGTCATATATAAATTTGCTGTGCTCATTTATTACATTGAATTTTATTATTTTAATTAGATCATTTTAAAAAAAAATCATATATATTCACGTCCGAAGTTTTAAAACAATAAACATTCTTATACATTTTAATCCATAATTTTTTTATAAAAGCATTAATTAAAATATTTATTTGTGTGTGTAGTATTAATATATGTTCAAAGTTTGAACGCAATAAAATAAGTAGTTTTTTCAAAAGTGTTCCTTTTGTGTTGAAATTTACACTTTTGTGAAATAATAATTTAAAGTAAAGCTTACTATTAACTAATGCATACCAAAAGCATAACTTAGATTGCTTAAGTCACTTACAAGAACATCTTCTTGTCTACATTTTAACTGTCTGTTTTTAATTCTAGCTTCTTTGATTCTTTGTAAAACTGCCCTTTTCACTTTCCTTATGAGCGCATGATCTGCTTGTTGCAAAGATCGACATGTGTAAAATCCAAGCTGGTTATTTAACATAATTTTTAATTTGGTATTGATGCCTTGATTATATAAAGGAATGGCTTCACATCATATTAACCCTCCAAGTGATCCGCACGTAAAATTCCGCCATCCCGGAGATGCTTTTTCTGCCTTCAAGCAAGATTCCCAAAGGCGGCCGAGCCGCATTCTGAAAAATACGGCTCAAACGCTTTTGAGAACCCCACCTGGAAGCAAAAAAATATGTGCGGTGCATTTTTGAAGCATCTCCAGAATAGCAAGACTTTAAGTACAGAACGCTTAGAGGGTTAAAAACTATATAGTCAAACCCTGGATTTGGCGAACAAAATTGATGTTAATACCTTGTTTTCTATATTTTACACATAATATAGAAAGTTTCAAGGCAATAGAAAACAGCACAAAGTCATTTATTTTACAAACACTTTCAGATGAATGCAAAAACGAAACATATTCTTTATTAAACTTACCTAATTTGGTTTTGATGCTGAATTTGTACATTCAGATTAACGTACTTTCGTACATTCAGATAAATTCGTTAAATTCCTCGGAATTTCGACCTACTTTACTTATTCCGTAAAACTTTATTTTTCCTAGAAAGTCTAATTGTTGAAACGAGGCACATTTATATGGTACTGACGATGAAAAACTAATTCAAACCAAAGAACTTCGTTAGATTTAACGAGATAAAAAGCGGCACCTGAGTTACCAGAAAGTGTAAACACACAGTTACAAC